GGGAGCACAAGAGAATATAACGAGCCAGAACTTAATGATTTTTTATTATCTATACAGTGGGTACAATTTTTAGTTTTCGTCTCATCTGACTATAGCACCTCCTTTACATGCTGCAACCTTTCTTCTTGCCACTATTACATCAAGGATAGATACCTTAAATAAAGCCGATGATGATGTCAGCTTCATTTAAGTGGTAGATTCCAGTTAACACTTTGAGCATGACCTTGACAACTGTGACTTTGCAGAGAAAGACTCAACTTCTCGACTTTCAGAGATGAAGGCCTGGCTTTTTTAAGACTCCTGAGCAGGAAGAGCCACGTAGATCTGGCTGTCTATCCTAGGCAGGTGAACACCCTTTTAATAATTTTAAAAAGTACAAACAAGCATTGGTTTTTACAATCCTCATTTCTGTGGTTTGGTTCCACACTTAGGAAGTGGGTCAGGATAAAGAGAAGTCCTCACAGAGCAAGAACTTATATAATCATTCGAGCACTCTGATGCACAGAATACAGAAAGGTGAAATGTAGGCGAGAACCAATTTATTGACTACGATTTTCTTAATTTTGGGAGATCAGTGATCAGCTAATACAAACACGTGAAGCCAATCTTGTCCCACGATCTTATCCTTCTTGGCAAAGGTCTAAAAATAAACCACTGTCCTCTTCTGATCTCCCATGAAAAAGGTTTTTGACTGACAGACCGGGCCACTAGGTCATGTCTGTATGTTTGCAGTAAACAAACACTGTCAGCAACATTTCAGACCAAATAAATTGGCATCAGAAAAATCAGAATCGGAAGGTCAGGCTGTTTAAAGATTAGTAATTGGCGATTGGTCAGAAAACTGCAGTTGACACACACCTAGTGAATTGAAGTATCAGCTACTGAACTTCTGTCATAGTTAAGTGTTGCATAACCTTCTGAGGAAGGCACACACCCTTTTTTTTGGAACAATATGTGATGAATAGTTTAGCTGCAAAATGCTACTGACTCATTTGCTGTCAGATAAAAGGCAGCAGGATTTTTTACTTGTGACACAATCAGAGCACAGTATATATTTACAGCACTGTTTAAGGCGTTACATTTTTCACACTAATTGGTCTAGTACAACAGATTTTCATTTATCTGTGTGATTTTGTAACTTTTTTTTTGTTTCTAAGGTTTTATTGGCTTTAGTGGTCTTTATTTGATAGTAAATTGACAGGAAAGTGGGTGATGAGAGAAGGGGGAGGACATGCAGCCAAGGTCACCCGGCTCAGAATCAAAACTGCAACGGCCACGTCGAGGACTAAGGTCTCCATATGTGGGATGTGCTTAACCCCGGCGCCACCACAGCACACCCGTGATTTGTAACTTTTACACAAATTATGGGAGGCATAAAAATCGGAATCTCTGATATGTTTTAGAGGTATTGTGGTGAAGTTTCTTAAAGGAGTCTGGGGTAAAGAGTGTGCACATCTGCCATAGTTTCCTTGAAAGAGCAGGTGTTACTATATTGCTTATATAGCACACTGACACGCAGAAGCTAGAGCGGTGAAATGAAATATCATCTATTAAACTTCTGTCATAAGTAAATGTTGCATTACCCTCTGAGGAAGGCACACACGCTTTCTTTGGAACAACATGGGATTCTTTGTTCAGCCGCGAAATGATACTGTCTCATTTCTTGTCAGATAAAATTTCACATGATCTTGGATCCTGGCTGTGTTTATAAGGGAACTCAAAACCTAATTAACCATGATTTTCTTTTTTTTTTTTTGAAAACTAAATGTCTGACACCTGTGAGTGACTTTAGGTGAATTGATACTCTAAATTAAATGTTTAGTGATTTATTTTTGTTTTATTTTTGGACATTCTTTCATAATTACATAGCTTTTTAAGACGGATTACAAAGTGGGATTAGAAAACCAGGAGTTCCTTCAGATTCTTTCCTTCCTTTCAAAAATGTTAAAGTGCAACCTGGCTTAAGGAATCATTTTCTACATCACTTCAAACGATACATAGTTTAAAGAATGTCATATCACTGTCTAATGATTGACAGATAGAAATTGATACACAGATGTTTGTACAGCATTCAACGTGTGCAATCACTGAATGTGACATAATGTCAAAGATAATGTTTGATATGTTTTAAAGCTTATGTGACCTTTGATAGAACAAGTTTAAGAAGAACAAATTTGTAGTCTTACATGTTTCAGACTGTATTTCTATATTCTGTTGTTTAGTTGACTTTCTGACATTAATTTCCAGCTTCTGTCTTTTTATGAGGACAATTCTTGTTCATGTCTGTGTGGTTTTCCTTTTTTCCCCTTCCTTTAAAAAATAGCATGAGCTATAATTTTCTGATAGTTTTTCTTTTTCTTAACCAGGCCATGTATAGAGCTGATGCAATCACTCTTCTCTGTTCCCTGTGACTGTGAACAGAGGATTATCTTGAAGGAAGTCATAATAAGCTGATATATATTACACAGGAGCAGAAGGAAGTGAAAAAATTAAACAAGAACCAACATGAAACTGAAAAAGGATTAACATAATTATCTGAGACACAGATAATTATGTTGTCTCTGTGCAAAGGCCTATATACAAAGGCATATAGATGGAAAAGGGATCAAAAGGTACCAAAGCACACAAGTTAAACTGAGGTTTTCTTTAACCTCAGTTTCAGTCTCTATTTTCACATCCATTCACATAGCCATTGGTTATCCCCACTAATCCTTACACGGTTGCCTTCCTTCCTTCCTTTCTTTCTATTTGTGGCAATGATAGGTCTGTATTTCTGTGGCATTTAAATAAAATTTTTAGGCTGTGCCAAATAAACCTTATTCTACTTAGAGTTGTTCAAAGCGAACTCTGCACTGCCAAAGAACATAAGTTAAACCCCAAGAACTCTGGGTTAAAAGAAGAAACGGCAATTTTGCAACAGGAACTTTATGTGTTTGACTTGTTACAGGGTGATGACCTTCAAAACCCAGCTGTACATAAAAAAAAAACTTTGATAAGATCACAGGTCAGCTCTGATAAATGAGGGCCGCTGGACAAAGTGTTGGGAAATCCACGTAAGCAAACAAAAAAGCACACACACACACACACACACACACACACACACACACACACGCACACACGCACACACGCACACATGATCTCTGCAGAGGAAAGCTATAAGTGATACTGTCTTTGAGCTGTTTAACTTTTAACTACAAGGGAGGTCTTCGAGCTGTCTGACCTCAGCCACATGTGTCCAAAGTCAAGGTAGTTGTCGCCAGAGAAACAGAAGCAGCAGGGATTTCTTGTGACCTGTAAGACAGGCAGAATCAACTCACAGCACTCTTTAGGGCGTTACATTTTTCACACTAATTGGTCAAAAATTGGGAGTATAATAATTGGAATCAGTGACAATGTTTCCTCACATATTTTAGAGTTATTGTGGTAGCTAAGGAGATAAAATCTCTTATATGAATTTGGGGGTGAAAAGTGTGCTTAATATTTAAACCAATATACATTTATAAACTCTACAAAATGATAATAAAATATTTCTGGTATTTAAAACATGTTGGTATATTTCCAAACATTTTGTAGATGTAGTGTTTGTTTTTGTAATTCTGTTTCAGATCATTATGTTCTGTATCAGCAGCAAACTCAGCAAAGTTATATTAACACATTTTGAAAGTTAAATGTGAGATGAATTTAGCAAGCTGATATCTAGCTGTAAAAATTGTTTTAAACCACAACCTAAATAAAATCAAGATGAGTTGTGAAAAGAGTGCAATAATGTTAATATTTTTCATAATATATTAACCTAAACTTAGCCAGTTGTTAGTCGTAGCAGTTTGAATGTTTCCTGTTTAAATGAAGTAACTTAGACATCACAGAAAACGTCTTTTATAAGGCCCTCATTTTGACAGATTGTGCTTATTTTGTGAGAAAGGCTGCACAGTATCTGTTGTATTATTCTTCTTTATCAGCATTGTTGATAAGACCCAACAATGTTTTATCATTGTTGGGTTTGATTTGCTTTGCTGTGGCACCAAATGTCAGCTGATCTGTTCTCCTGTGTCAAACCATAATATTTATGGCCGTATCATAACAAATCCACGCTGGCCTTGTTTTTCCTGGGCATCACTATAAAAACATACTGCACTTAATCCATGTGTCCTCACAAGGAATTTATTACTTAAGTATTAAACAGGTAAATAATCTGACACAATTTTGAACTTTTTATGTCACTCAGCAAATTTCGCTATAAATATCCTATGTTCTAATAAAAAAAACAATTTTCACAAGTTAAAAAAAAAAACATACATTTTTAAAGAATTATACTTAAAATGCAACAGTGAAAATTAATAAAAAGGAGTAAATAACTAAATAATTTGTGACTCAGATGCAGCAGGAAGGGCTCCTCAATATGAATTTTTCTATATATTAGGGATCTCCTATTATTAAGTCCATATGAAGTCTTGTTGTTTAATGGCCCCACATTGTGGCCCAGTTTCCTGTGTACATTTCCTAAATGCCACGTTGGTGACTAAAAGTGTTGATGGTTTGACCCAGAATCTTTTGTTTGACCAAAAACAAAGTCAGTCAATTCTTGGAATCGTTTTTTATTATTGTGTTGCCATCCAACGGCTTTGGTATTAAAGGAAAAAAAAAACAAAACAGTCATCTTACCCTTCAGGGTTTCTGAAGTGAGGTTATGTTAATTATTTACAAACACTTAATCCCAGATGCAGAATCTTTTCCCCATTTCAAGGAAGGAAGGAAAACCTTGACAAATCTGCAGCTTAGTGGGTCTCATAAACTGAAGTTAACTGCTAGACTGAAAGATGAACCTCCTGTGATTGTAGAATCTGAACTGCACTCCAGTAAATTCACTAACTTCTTCACAGATAAAATGTAACAATTAGAGAATTAATCTGCACATAAACATTAAATCCAGTACCTGTGCTATGTCTAATCAAAATAAAAGCTGAAAAAAACACAATTCTACCAACATAGACATAAAATATTTATAAATCAAGAAGAATTCATGAATCAATAAAGCTCCGCCTCCTGCTGTTGTGATCTCCTACCTACCACTTTCTTTAAGGAAGTTCTGCAGGTCATTTCGTCTGATCTGATTCAAAAGGTAAACTCAGGCCTCTTATAAGGTGTTTTCCACATGGCTTTAAAAACAGCACTTACAGCATAAAAAAAAACAATCTGGACAATCAGGATTACTAACAGCAGTGACAATTGGTTTGATAACTTTTCATCTGTCCCATTCAGAGGATATAGTAATATTAAGGATCTTCATCATAGAAAGAATCTTTATCTTCAGC